GGAGGGAGGTGGGGAGAGGGCATTGTGAGAGTGAGTTCGAAAAGTATTTTCACATAAAACATATTATCGTGATTGGAAACTAGATATCTGTGGCTGTATCAGATAATGACTAGTCACCACATAACGTCAGTTAAGTTTGAAAACATGATGTACAAAATACAAAACCGGCCTCATTTATTCGGCTTTTCCAACAACCAAGTCTTCGCGGTAATGTCGTTCGCGGTAACGTTGTTCGCGGTAATGTCGTTCGCGGAAATGTCGTTGTATCGATATTTGCACACATATAGACACATACACACAAATAAACATATAAAAAACTACTCTGTAAATTTTACGATTGTTGTTATTTGATTCTGAAAAAACAGTAAAAAGCCTTGGCAGGGCAGCCGCTATCAGGGCTAAAATTGTGAAACTCCTATACCCTTCATTTAATAATTTAACTGAGTATAACTCATAAAAAATAAATTAATCTTTATTTTTCGGCGTTTCGGCGTGCTTTAAATTCTGCAAAAAGGTGATGTTTTCTATCGTGTGTCAACACCGGCAAAATATTTCATGGCTGACCAAAAGCTGTGAAAATATGTCTCGTGGTTTTTACTAGAACGGTGTTTGCAGTAAAAACAAGAAATAACTAAAAAAAAGAAAAGAACATTTACAGGTTGAGAAAAAAAACGCAGAAATAAGAAAGGGTAAGAACTTATACTCATGCTTTTATGTGTTGGCGTTATACTTCTCTTTTCTTGATTCAATCCTCTTGTCCTAATAAAAGGTGAGAATACACGTATGTGAGAATGGATATATAACACTTTACAAACAGGTGTCAATTGTACATGATTTAAAAATGATGAGCTTTACCTACCGACATAAGATAAAGACAAGAGAACGTTGTATACCCACTGCCATCAATTAAAAACCGTATTTTAAGATGTTCGATGATACAAAAGACTTGCTTAGTCGCGGCGCGATCGCTAAAAAAATCTTGTATATACACGACCTTTTAGCGATCGCGCCGCGGCTAAGCAAGTCTTTTGAAGAAGAGCTTGTTGCAGCAAGAGTCGTGGTGCGACTAAGCAGAGTACAGCTGTTGAAATTCACGATCACAAGAGTCGCGCCGCGACATAGCGAACTCACGACTCTTAAAAATTCCTCTTCTCTCTAGATAAGAACTTTTTAGGATCCCGCCGCGACAACGGGAGCTCATAGCGATTGCTTCCGCGACATCGAGTACGCGCCGCGACTAGGGTCGACCTGAGGAGATACGAAACCCGTAAGGTTTTGTGAAATTTCTACTAAGCCTTTAGTGCTAGGAAACCAACTTTCGTATACTCTGTACAAAACCTTGTAGAAAACAAATTTTGTTTTAAAGTTTTGTACCATCTAACAAACCTTTGAATTTCGAAATTTCACCACAAAACCCGTAAGTTTCGAAAAACTACTCGAAATCTTGATAGTTTGGTATAGAGCCTTTTTTTCTTAGAGAGTAGAAAATATGCAAAATCGAATCTTCACATCAGACGTTTTCGTGAAAACTGATAATCGTCGAGCTCGATAATAATATAACGCATTCTCTCCCAAATGTATTTTATCATTCAGCTATCTCTGTGTAAGAAGAATTTGTCAAATATTTTTCGATCGAACGTATATTTTTTTCTCAAGATTATCAAATTTTGAGTAATATTTGTATTAGGCTGAATGTATTTTGAAAGTATCCTATATTTGATTATTTTGACAATAAAGACTTATGCTTTCGAAGCGAGAATTTTAAATAAATCTATGGGTGAAACTTTAAGCCGAAGCATCATCGTTCGATTTCTTTTAGAAGTTTATTGCAAATAGTCTTCCATGGAGGTGAGAACTGCATGTGGAAGAGTGTTTAGACAGCTGGAATCAGCACATTGAGCTCTGCAAACTGTTCACGTTTCCATCTATCATGTGAAATTTCGAATGTTTTCTCTTCGAATTGTTTCACGGTCGTATACGATGATGGTAGTCGTCCACCGGAGAGTTAATTTTCTCGTGATCAGAATATTCTGATCTAAGAATGCTGTTCACATCTAACAGTGAGCACACAATTGTTTGACATTTTTCAAATCCGGAGCAACTGTAAGCGACCTTTCACTGAATTAATTTTCAAGGAACAGTCATACTGGGATAAGGAAAAGTTTGCTCTTTGTTACGAACAGCTGATTTTCTTGTCACCATTATCTTTTGTCTATCCATAAAAAGATGTTGATTTTCTTGTGGCTCTCTGTCAAGGATAGTCAGATAAAAATTCGGGATGTACGCTCTATAGAGTACTAATACATGTCTCACCATGTAGAAAATTTTCTGGATTTTTAAGCACGCTAGTCGAAAAATCTTATGAAAACTGAACCAAGAACTTATTATGTTGTGCAACTGTAAAATTGTTTTTACAGGTACTCAAAAAGTTATTTGGTCAAACTTAGACAATCGATTTAAAATCTGCTTGGAAAAATTTCAGATTTGAATGGCAGCATATTATACTAAAAACTAAAAACGTTTTGTCGGATTTGCTGATATATAAAATGCTTAAAAGATTTCCGAGAAAAGTTATCTAAACGCTTGGAAACGATTTATGACACACACAGTGACTAACCTGGAAATTTTCAAAACAAATTTCCGAACCTTTAGAAACCCTTTCAGCTTCTCATGTAGTGGCAAATCCAAAAACTCATACCAGAAGGTTTTGCCATTATGCATAAAAATACTCCTTCGGCCAAATTTTTACTGCAGTATCAAGTATGTTTATAATGTGTTTGTACGTACTCTCATAGTATGACCCAGTTACACTTCTTCTCCATGAGTTTCTTGGGATTCTGGTTTTTTTTCATTTACTATGACAAATGCATAGAAATCAGACTTATTTTTGGTATCTCTGGAATTCTTCGGATTCTGGGATTTCTTCTAACTTTTTAAGCATTTCGAAGAAATAGACTACGAAGTTCATTTAATCCTATTTCAATTTTTTATTTTTGTCCTGTATGAGTGATATTATTATTACGAATGTGTCATGGATGATATTGCTATATAACATTGACAAAACATTCGTTCTGTATGAGTTTTTGTCTCCAGACATTTTTTTCCAAAGTGCTTTCGCTCCACGCTAGAGCGCTTGCAAAAAAAGTCGTAAAATACGAAAAAAAAGCGATTTTCCAGTCGAACATTTTCCCATGTCATCAGAACCGCTAAAATGCCGCCGGTTACCGCAGCGGTCATCGCCGAGTATAATAGGAGGTTAACCTAATGGACATGTGAACCTACCAAACCGCGCGGTATACCGGTCGGTTGTACCGGTATACTGTATTGTGGTTGTGCGATTTTATCAGTGTGAGCAAACAGTATAGGAGTTCGAATCTAGTTCTCAGCTTTCTTTTTTTTGCCGTGCGCATGCAGCGCAATAAGGTTTCCAAACGGGAAAAACTTGACTCATGTCAAAGTGCAAACTTCGACGAGTCTCTATAATCTGAAACAGAAAGTTTAATCTGAAGAAAATCAAAGTTTTTTGACTTTTCTGCATTTCTTATATAGACTGACAACCGCAAAACAAAAAGACGATTGTGTCAAAACGGTTTATCGACGGTTTTTTCTTGTACTGCGGTCTGAAAACTACCATGAGGTAACCGCCGGTAGAAGACAAAATCGTCGCTGAACCGCAGAATATACCGAGAGGTTAGGTCCAACCGGTGGTATTTCGTTGAACCGCCGGTATTCTCAACAAATGCGCGATATGGGTTGCTTACGCTATAATTCCGAACTTGTTCGAGTTAAGCGTTCTCCAGAAATAGTTTATTCTTTAGACATAGACAAAACGTCATCGGCCGTTCCCAGAAACGTCTTATAATTCTACTCTATGTATATCATCGGTTTATTCCTGAGCTGACTTATGTATCTTGTCTCTGTTCTGCTCTATGATTAAACCATTAAATCTGAGATGTATGACTTCGGAATGGACACATCGCATCACGAACGAGAAACTTTGAATGAGAGCACTGACAGTCAGAATTGTTTATTTTTCCTTGGAGTCGACTTCATTATGAAAGTATAGCTTTATATTCAGAAGAAAGTCTACTAAACAAAATAAAGAGAAAAAAGTCAAACTCTTTCCCAAACTTCTGGTTTCTTTATTCTTGCCGCAGCAAATACACGTTGAATTCCATCGTGGATATCCTGTGGACTTTTAACAAAAATAAATTGGCTGTGAGGTGCATGTTCATGGACCAGATTCACCAAACGATTGAACCAATAAAAAATTTCATCTTTCTGTTCCGGTTGGACTGTTATATAACCATTTATCATTCCACCTAGAAAAGAATGAAGAGGGTTTTTTGATTTTCACATAAGAAAACAGACTTGGCACGTAATACACTCACCGATCGATACAGCATCCCATTGACTCTGTTTCAGAGTGTTGATCAACTGTTGTTCATCATCCTGACTATTGCTCAAGGCCATAACTTTGACATTTTTATAGCCCAAATCACATAATTGTTTCGTAGCAATCTCGGCATTTGATTGTTTACCTCCAATGGCTAGGATTTTCCAATCGTAAGCACTAGACGACGACATAATAATTTGTGAGTGACAGAAGTTACTTTAGATCCGTTCAGTTATTAAACTGTCATTTGTATGAGGGAAAGAACAGCAACGTAATAATAATGAGATCGTGCTTTTCTTTTCTGCCTTCTTTTTCCTTTAGTCAGAATGACTCAGTATTTTTTCTTTTTCTTTCGACTCGATTACTCATTCTGTTTATAGAACTGAGAAAAAATGTCGGAGTTACAGTGCCGTAAATATAGTAATCGGACGAAGCACGTAAAGAGCATTAATCGTTCGCTGTCGTTCTTTCAGTATTCATATATCGAAAACGAAAAATAAATTTACGGCTGACGATCTGTTTCGTAAGAACACATAAACATAACGGTTATATCGAAAGAAAGAGAATAATTCTATGACGAAACGAACAAAAGACGCTTCTTACCAAATAAATAAATATATTCAAGATGGCTGCTAAAACACCGATTAGTACCATAGTCGATGCTGTTGACCGACGAATTCACGTTTTATCAGGCTATTTCCACCGAATGACCGCTCTGTGATTTTCTATGTTGTCCGATTCCAAGAGTTTGCTAACCTTAATGCTACCTCAAGTGTATAGCTTTGGTATTATAATTCATCCGAGAAATGTCGTTTGAATTTTAAAAAGCATATCATCTTCGTTAAGTTCCCAAGTAAATAAGAATGCCTGAGAATCAAATTTTTTAGCCATTCGTGAGAATCATCATCATATGCACGTTGCCATGTCAAAGGACTCCCTTCTTTGTTGATCTCAACTATTCGCATTTGTCCGGTCTTTTCTTTGAAGCATTATCTTTCTTTTATAAAAAAATATTTATACTGTTAATTAGTTACTGATGTTGACTTATTTTTCCCTCTTGTTTTCTCATTTACAGTCTAGTCTCTTGTGATTCGTTAAGAATGAACTTTACGAAAAAGCATTTTGTCGTGATTTTTTAAACTCACTTTTAACACCTACTATTTATAATACAAAATCTAATTCAGATAACAAATTGATTGTAGCAAATAGGAGTGCATCGGTTATTTTTTCGTATTTTTCAAAAAGTCACAATAAATGTTTTGTATTTTCATAAAAAATGATTTGCAACATTTTTCTAAAACGGCAGTTTTGTAGAGAAAACATTTCTCTACAAGATGATATATAATAGTTACTTTTAAAGGTTTTTGGTTTCTTTAAAAAGCGTTTTT